GCCTGGGGGCGCGCTTTGCTGCTGCTGCTACTACTACTACTACTACTACGACGACGACTACTACGACGACACCGCGCGGAGCTGTCTTGGGCGTGCCAAATGAGTGACAAAAAACTATTAGTTACTTACTAGGACGACGGCGACTACTCCTGATACTGCTACGAGTATTACCATTACTGCTACTGCGACTATTACTACTGCCACCACTGCTACTACCACCACCAGGACCACCACGACGACTACTGCTGCTATTACTGGTAATGCTACTGCTGCTGCTGCTGCTGCTGCTGCTGCTGCTAGTATGACTGCTAGCAGTAATAAGTAGTAAGATTGTTAAGAATAATAATTCTACTGTCGCGTGCATTTGCTGCAACTTCGACTCGTGTTTCTGCTGCAGCTACTACCACTGCAACTGTTTCCGTTGCTGTTGCCATGGCCGCCGCCACTGCAACAACAACCGCCGAGCTTTCACAAGTTCTTGTGATGCCACATATGTCTTCCCGCTATGAGCTGTTCTTGCGTCGATGTTGGAGTTCACTTGTTGTGCCCGAAGGTCCTCCTCCGCGGCACATTAGGCGACTCTGAAAGTCGTGGAGTTGTCGAATCTCGGTCAGGATGTCGTGGGATTGAGCATGTGCTTCAGGGCTTTGAAAGTGCGACCTGTGGGAGTGGAGAGACATCCTGCCAAAAGCTTTTCTGCTGCTTGTTGTTTCTGAGGCTTTGCAATAGGTGTCAGTAGGTGCATGGTCCAAATCCGTGGCAGCAAAAGGCGCATTGAATGCAATCTTGAATGCAAGCAGGGCTTGAACCTTCTTGGTCTCCATTTCCTTACTACCTCTGTCCGAGAATCTGACTGCTGAGGAGAGTTTCGAGGAAGGTGGCGAAAAGTATTGGATTCGGACCGGTCCGGGGAAGGGGCAGGGAGGGAGGGGGGGGGGTTTCCTCTTGTGGAACTAGAATTAGTTCGCTCATACTCATACTCTTTTGCAGAAGGAGGTTCTGGTAATCACGCAGGTCGAGGGTTTCTAAATCACATCCGTGTACAGGTGCCCAGTTTCGCGACTGATGTCGGATTGGTTTCAACCAAAACTTGTCTATCTCGTTTCCCAACCAGGCTGGGACTCTCCTTCTCGCCCAAGACATGTTTGCCACGGATCTTTGCAACATGCCGCGCAATACCCAACTTCCAAAAGTACCAATGTTTCGACTACTCTGATTACCGTGTGGCCCTCGCCTTGTACGTGCAAGTTGGATGGATGTTGATCCAGGGCTGTAGGGGCCGACCCCACATTTCGGAGTTGTAAGGTAGGCATGTGCAATTGAGGCTCAGATCCAGTTAAACAGTTTCCTCCAGCACGCTTACGATCTACAGGGCCACAGGACAATCGTCAGTCAGCATGTGGTGTTCGAGATGCAGGAACACTTCAAGATGCCTCGTAACGACACTTCGGGCTTACCTCCACTTCGGGGTGTGAGACGTTGTAGCATAATGCATCCTTCAATTTCGGTACTGGCATGCAAGAAGGGGTGAAACCCACAACTGCTGAGTAGGTGAACAAAAGCAGGGAGACTTGCTCAGATTGCCGCTGTCTGCGAGGGCTAAAGGGCTGTTCAGCAACAAGCTGCTACTCATGTGTAGGAAAGCCCTGAATTGCTTGATGTTTAATGGTGTCTCTTCGAACTGTTCGATGAAGCTGTTCTTCCCTTGTGTCGAACATCCACTGAGATAGCTGTCAGGGCCGAGGCCCACACGACCTGCATGGGAATGCGCTTGATGGATCGGATGCGATGGCCCAAGGGTCGTACAAGACTGCTGTGATCTGATCAGCACTCAGGAGATGAGCGTGCAATCCAAGACTCGGAATAGCACCGAGCAGTGCCCGCCTTGATTCAGCAATCCAGCAAAGCCGGTACTTTCAACTAGTTGTTTGTTGGCTTCATCTGGCCTCAATACTTACATACCAATGACTTTCATTCCTAGTGAAGCCGCCATGGTTGGTACGGGTCAATTGCCAGTGACAGTGCTCTCTGGCTTCCTGGGCGCCGGAAAGACGACGCTGCTCAAGCAGATTCTGAAGACTGCGAATGCAGATCCCGAGCAAACACCGATGAAGATTGCAGTCCTGGTGAATGACATGGGTGAGATCAATATTGACGCATCGGAAATCAAGAACTCCAGGCTAATCCAGGAAGAGGCTCGGATGGTCGAGCTTCACAACGGTTGCATATGCTGCACGCTTCGCGAGGACTTGTTGAAGACTGTCAAGGAGCTTAGCGAAGAGCAAGCCTTCGACTACCTTGTTGTTGAATCCACAGGCATATCGGAGCCTTTGCCCGTGGCCCAAACCTTCACAATGAATATTGATGAGGCGGTGCCGAAGAGCGGCGAGAAGATGTCGTTCCAGACGTTGTCGAACTTTGCGCGCCTAGACACGATGGTGACAGTTGTGGATGCACTGAATGTTTACGATGCTCTGGGCAGCATCGAAACTTTGGCCGAGAGAAATAGTACAGGCATGGTGGGAAACACCGGGCTCAGAGATGAGAAGAAGGGGGAGGTCCCCCCAACTGGATTCTGGGCCTCTCTCAAAGCGGCTGCATGGCGAGCTTTCCTCACAGCCCACAGCATCGAGCCTGCGCCCGAAGTGGAAGACGATCGCAGCATTGTGCAGCTGATGCTGGACCAGATCGAGTTCGCAGACATCATCATCCTAAGCAAGGCCCCACTCATGGAGAAACCAGAAGCCATCTCCGAGATCAAGTGCCTGCTGCAGAGGCTAAATCCAGATGCGAAGGTCATCGTTCCGATGGAGGAGCACTTCACGGATCTCACGGCACGCGCAGTGATCAACACAGGTCTTTTCGACATGGAGAAGGCAGAAGCATCAGCAGACTGGAAACGCGAGCTGGAGAAAGAGAAGGTTCCTGAGACTCTCGAGTACGGCATTGCGAGTGTGGTCTTCCGCAACCACTCCCGTCCTTTCCACCCGGCAAGGCTGAAAGCTGCATTTGCTGGTTTTGGCAATTACGAGACAAGCATCGCTGCTGCCAAATCTCGCTCACAACAAGGAAATGCCGGGGAGGAAGTGGGCCAAGCAGGCCCTTCGTCGTGCGATACTGTAGGACCCTTCCAAGGTATAGTGAGCGACGCCCAAGGGCCCTTCCAGGGCGTGGTGCGAGCCAAGGGGCGATTGTGGATTGCAAGTGCTCATGCCCACCCAGTCGAGTTTCAGTCTTCTGGTCGCCTCTTCAACCTGAGCGCCTCAGACAGGCCCTTCCTGGATGCACTTCCGCAGGAGAAGTTTGACGACTTCTCGCGAAGGCGCTTCAGCAAGGTGCTAGCAGAGATGAAGGAGGAGGGCCGCTGGCACGACGAGTCTGGCTATGGTGACCGAGACTCCGAAGTTATTTTTATTGGTGTTGGCATCGATAAGGCCAGGATCCTCGAGGCTTTGCAGGAGGCTTTGTTGACTGACCAGGAGCTTGCGGAGGGCCCAGAGAGATGGAAGGATTTCGAGGATGTTTTCTTCAATGGTGCCTACTTTAGTCCCAGTGTCCCCGGCATGTGCTAGCGGCGTACAGCCATGTCTGTGCTTTGCAAGTGAGGGGTGCCTTTCCTTCGTCGCTCTAGATACCGGGGCAGCTTCGCTTGTTGAAGCTCCTCTTCTGGAAGCTGTTAGTTAGCTTCCTTCTTTCTGTCCGGATGTGCTTGCTATTGCTTGAGGTAGTCTGTCAGTACAGCCCAGTTCCTCTGCAGGGGAGTTCTGGGGTTCATCGCAGACGTCCGGCGTGAAGCAGTGGATGCTGCTGAAGGGTGTTGTGTGCACGCGAGAACACAAGCTTCCCCCTGGAATGCGAAAGCCTGTTATGTACAAGAGTGCATGCACCGACATCTCAACCCCAGTTGCAGAGCCAGGGTCAGAAGAACAGAAAGAAGGAATAAGACAGCAGCAGACACAGAAACAGAGCAGGGACAGAGAGGGAATCGTTAATTTTGACCTGTGGTCCCAGTCCTGGGGGTGTCGCGGACAAGTCGCCCCTGAAACCGAGCGTCCAACCAACAGGGCACCCGTCAAGGCCTGGTGACAGAATGTGAGAAAAGAAGAAAAACTGCACCAGGATGCCGAGCGGCGATCAAAAGCTTCTCCACCCGTCAAGCTTCGTTCAAGGCCCGGCCCAGCAGGGTCCGTTTCCCACATCTTGCCTTTTGAGTGAGGGTTGTTCGATCTTCAGGCTTCAGTGAATCGTTCGTTTGCTTCAGTTGGCATTCTTGGGTTTCGCCATACATACACCTTCATACAGAGCGAGAGCGAGAGAGAGAGAGAGAGAGAGAGAGAAGGTGCCAAAGAGCTCAAGATGAGGCCTGGGGGGATCTTAGTGTTCGGGGATTTAGGTTCGGGGGATTGCAACAGTTGCGCACACGCAGGCCTCATCTTCTAGAGGGTTTACTGAGACCACGGAGACCAGGGCGCGGCATCGCGCGGGAGAGGGTGCGTGCGTGCCTTCTCTCTGACTGTGTGGAAGAAGAGAGAGAGAGAGAGAGAGACAGAGAGAGACAGAGAGAGAGGGAGAGAGTAGCCATTTTGGCTCAAGCCGTGAGCGGTTCAAGGTCCCAGACAGAGAGAGACTAAGGGGACCTCCAACCTGGCCGCGAGAGTTCCTCCTGTCTGCGTAGGGGCCATCAAGTTCATCGCAGGGAGTGCAGACCTACGCGTGTTCACCAAGGGTGTGCGGACCGCCAAGATCGGCAAGTTCGGAGCTCGGGGGGGGAACTCTGCTCTTCTAGGCATGTGGGAGGACGTGCCGACCAAATATGTGACCGCATTCGGCGAGCCTATACATTGCCTTTCTCACTGTTGCGAGTCTGCCCAAGTTCGCGCGGAGACACAGACTGACTGCCCACGTCGACGCCAACAGGGGGGGAGCACGTCAAGAGCACCACAGAGCTGCGCGACGCCATGACAGGCCGACATTGCGACATGGGCCCTAGCGGGAAGAAGAGAGACAGAGCATAGGGCGTGGGGAGCGTGCTTCCCGTCCCCAAACGCCCGGCAAGCAAGCAAGCCAGCAAGCCAAAGAGAGAGAGAGAGAGAGAGAGGGGCACCCGCTCGCTGTGCAGTCATATGCTTTCTAATGTCATTTACCCCCACGGTGGCACACAAAGCCAGACCAGACCCTGTCTCACGAACCTGCCCACATACAGACTCTCCATCTGACAACATGTTGGATGTTGAGCGCGGGGCGCTGGGGCTGCCAGC